AAAAAAAAATCCCCTTCTAGCTCTTGGACCTCAGCATGCCATTGATAAATAGCCTCCACAGTCTTCCTTTTATCTCTAAACTTCTCGTAAATATCACCCACCCTGCCTTTTACTCCATCAGTCTGTCAGATTAAAAGCCACTGGTATCCAAGCCTGCTGCTGTGTGTCAACTCTGCTCTGTAACAGCTTGCGCTAAGCCCATTAGCAAAGCAAATTTAGCCATATTACCTTCTTCCAAAAGGAAGCTGGGACACCAGAGAAAGACACAAACACCCACCCCTGCAGAGAGGGATTAAGGCCCTGACTGATCTCTAAATGAGTTTGGTCAAGACACTGATATTCATTTCAGGAGCATTAGAGCTTGCTCCATTTACTCAGCAAAGTCAGCCTTGGAATCAGAAGGAATGGGACTCCATCTATGCTGGCGCCCTCCCTGGGAACCATATTTTTTCCACCTGCTTGGTCTTATTTAACATAAATACAGTGATTATGTGAGGTGAAGTTTGTATCACTGCCTTAAGTTTTGTATGGTTATAGCTGCACAAAGAGATTTTTTTAATCTGAATTGTCCTTTGCCCAACCTGTGGGTCATATTTTTATGTGGAAAAATTCTTTTCCTAAAATGAAAGTGGTGAAATTTCCAAACCAGTGGAGCCAATCTAGCTAAATATTAACCTGCGAGCCAATTCAGCATTGTTGAACAGTTTTGTGAAAGAAGACAGGTGACTGTTATAGTTAATGAGTAGTGATTAAAACAACTCTAAATGTCTGGTCTTGTTTAACTTGGATGAATCTATTCAAGCACCAAAAAAGAGAAAAGGTCAGCGATTAGATCTGATGCCATCTATCAAGGCATGATCAAAACACACTGAGTGTTATGCTGGTAGTGTTTCAGTCTGGTATTAAAGAAGCGTATACAGCCAAGAGTGACTGTTTGCCATGTGACACCCCCCGCCCCTTTTTTCCCCCCTGTTATTGTTCCTCATGGGAAATTTGGTCCTGCTCATGAAGTCATTGTTCAGAGAAAAACGGAAGGAATTTCATCTTCCTCCTACTTAATATGACTGTTGCTCTGAAAGAAACGCCTGCTGGTTGGAAGAGGAGATTTAGATCTGCAGATTGCTCCCTTAGGGAATTTTTTATTGCAGCAGTGACATGTGCAGGTGCTCTGTTCACGTTATAAAATAGCTTCAGTTTATGTGCTTATTTTATGCAATAAAGGTTTATTTCATGTGCTTGTACTTACATTGCCTTATAATACTGATCCCATTAAACTCTGTTTTTAACAAATTTTTCCAACCACCCACACTGCTAGGGGATATATGGTGATTCATATCTGCTGTTAGTCAGGTGTGCAGGCATTAAGCCAATATCCAAGGAAAATGGCTTTGATGTTGGTCTAAATTAATCTTGACAAAGAGTCTACTTAGAGCTAATTATGCTGGTAATAAACCTCATTTAATTGGGGTTGGACCTAAAGATTGGAAAACTTGAAAATGGGATAAAAAAAAAATAAACCTGTCACTGTTCTAGACAGATATAAGGGCTGCCGTTACGTGGCCTCGGGGGTTTCTTGAGCGCTGGGTTTAAATTGTAAATCATCACAAGATTAAAGAAAAAAAAAAAAACAACCCAAACAAGCAAAAAAACAACAACAGTTTTTTAAATGTTAAACACAAGGATGACCCTTTTCATCAGCTGCCTTACAAAGTGTGATGATATATGTTATTTGAGACACAATTCACAACCCATAACTTTATCAGATCATAGCACACGCTGGCAAACAGGCACACTGGTTAACCTTTAAATACTAGAAATAAAAATTAAAAACAAAACAAACAAAGAAAGAAAAAAATACAGAAACTATCGGACAATTTTGCACTTGACCCAACATAACTGAAGTCCTGCAAGTCTGAGGGAAATGGGCTGTGAAGCCACTGAGGAGAAAAACGTAAGAAGGAACAAGGAACAAATCCTGTATGTCTAACAGGGCATATGTAGAGGATTTGGTTGAACCATCAACTTGTTTTTCAAGATGCAACTAGTTCATATTTGCATATGACCAGTTCATGGGAACATGAATCTTTTACTTTTTGTTTATTTAATGCAATTTTGAACTTGTGTGGGTTTGAAACTTATTGCAAATCTGAAATAGCTGTCAGCAAACTGTCAACGTGCTTCTTTAGAAGAGAATTCCGGATAATTTTCAGTCTCCCGAGCGATCGGAGGCAGCAGATTGTTCATGAGAAGTCAGGTCTCACCGCCCCCCCCCCATGGAAGTGAAAAAGGAGCTAGGGTTTGTTCTCTCTTTATACAATCATCACTGTTACCTTTCACGTGTACTGATTGCAAAGCTATGAAATTGTGTGCCATTATTTCTGTGTTTATATGATATGATATCTGTTTCAAAGCTTTAAAAACACTTTTGACTTCAGACCTGGTCCGACAACCAGGAAAGAACTACTATTTGATTGTGTAAAAACCTGCCCCAGTATTTCACACCAAACCTCCTGAATCAAGTAACCAAGTATTGCATGAAATTATCAGGAGATGTTGTTTATATATTTTGATAAAGGGAGAATAGCAAATTTTTGGGGGGGGGGGAATAGAAAGGTCTTTTCTGTTTTTCTTACCCCACTGTTTGTACAATGTTATGCCTTACGTGTGATTATGTGTGCTATCTTGTTATCTGTGCCATGAATTAAAAAGATTTTAATTAAACTGTGGCTTTAAACACAGACAAAAATAATTTCATACATTTCTATACTAACAAGGTCACAAGGCCTCTGAGAAATAATCGATTAGCTTGACATGAAAAGGAATATAAATGCACCTGTACCCTTGGAAGAAACAGAGCAGACAATCCGCTTCTGTTATTCCTCTTTGGAATTTCTCTTCTTTCTGTCTCAGGTAGTTGCAGTCGTATTTGATTTCCACCTTTGATTAAAACCACAGTGAAATTCCCCGTCTCATCCCACAGTGACAGCAGAAAGAAATCTGTTGGGTTTTTTGTGTTTGTTTCAAAGTCAGTCTATTGCTGTGGTTTATAGCATCTAACTGACAACAGCATTTTATCTGACCACATTTTGCATATTTCCTTTCTGAATGGAAACTTTCAGATTTGCATGAGATTTATGAAAGAAGAAGAACAGGTCTCAGTCTCTTTTTTCCTTTTATATTTGACTGGGTATTTATTTATTTGCTTAATCTGACTTGCAGTTGGTTCAGGAATGTTTGAATGTTTCTTTTCAATATTTTTACTCTTAACTTTCATATTATGAACAGGGAATGTATTTAATAATTAAACTTTTCCCTTTAATAACTGTTGCTTTTTAACAGAGTCAAAATCTCTGGATTTCACTAATTAGGTTACACGACCTGTTCAAGACTACTAAGAAAACTATAGACACACACACATATATATCTCAGATATACAGCTTATGTCCTATAAATCATGGGCCTATAATAAGATTGTGCTACAGAAACATCCAAGACCCTGTTTAAGAGAGCAACGTCTTACCCCAGCAATGATGCTCTGATGTTCTTGAGTCAATGACTTGGCTGGATGCTGGCAGATGCAGTGCTGTTTCCAGCCAGTGGCCAGTTGCTGCCTGAAGGTGAGGCGCAACAGGCAGCGGGCAACCTTCAGTCGGCTTCTTGCTGATGACTGTCACTGAGCCCCAAACCCAGGTCTCCTCAAATCTTCTCAGGCTTTTTTGTTTGGTTGGTTGGTTTTTGGTTTTGGCAGAATTATACTTAACCTGAAAGTCACAGCCTAAAACACAACTGCACACTTAGTTCAAAAAGCACCTGCTACGGGCGTGTTCAAAGTGAAGCCAAGAGGACTAGTGGCTGGGTGAGTGAGTGCAAAGGAATTCCACCTCCATTGACTGCAATTTATATTTATAAGGCAGCCATGTTTACTTATGCAGACAACTCTCTCTCTCTCTCTCTCTCTCTCTCTCTCTGTGTGTGTGTGTGTGTGTGTGTGTGTGTGTCTTTGCCGATTAGCTCAGACCTCCTCAAACACTGCAAGCCAACCTTAGTGTTTAGGTGAGAGAGAATTCAAAGTGATCAGATTAAATAAATAAATAAATATTGCTGTTTAAGTAAGTAAGTAAGTGATTATGTAGCCAAATACAAAATTGTAGTTAGGAATACTTTTCTTATCACGTTTCCATGTGTTGCTGGTTTTTGTTTGTACTCCTACTTTTTACTTCACTACCGTTTGAAGACTTTAATTACAAACTTACCATTTTTATGCCGTTGATGTTAAAAATAGGAAACATATTATTATTGATGTCTGAGCTGTGAGTAGTAACTTCTCACATAGTGACAATCATTGGCTTCTGTTTCCCATGACTTCAGGGAGCACTTTCCTGAATGCAAGCTCAAGGGGTGACTGAAAACAACATGCTGTTCATTTTGTACGTTGTAGTCCTGATTGTCATCACAAGGAAGTTAGAGCTGGAGGTAAGTGATAAGTCGCCAACATAAGTGCACCATGCATGCCAGATTCACGCCTCACTTGTGACATCTAGTTTTAAACAGCAATGACAATGAGAGGAAAAATACTGGGCTCTAGGTTTCAAAACCAGACTTTGCAGAACATGGTAGCTATGCCGATCTTTGATATAAAGTATATTAGCAAACCCCTGTCCCCAGTATGGATGATAATAAACAGCTGCTTCTTCTCAAAACTCTAATAATGCCATACTTAATGACTCATTGTTTTCTACAGCACTGCTGTTATTGGTTATGCTGTAAGAACATTTTTAATCTAATATGTTAGTCACCACAAATTAAGTGAGATTTTAAATGTGTGTCACTTTAATGTAAATCACTAATCTGAGTATTTCCATCACTGTCTACTCAAGAACATGGAAGGAGATTCTGTTTAAACAAAAACATTAATTACTAAACACTTAAGATAATAATGTTTGTATATACCATTAAAGTCACAGTTTGGTGTTAACATGTTAGCGCTCCGGTGTGCTCACATACAAAGCTGGTGTAATATTTCATTTAGCTTCTAAAATGATTTCCGTGTAAGAAACCCAAGAGAAACCATAGACTCTTTTCTGTGTTAAGAATATTTGCACAGGCATCCACTGAAGTAATATGATGCTTCAGCAGAATGAAATTTAATATTACCTACAGTTAGTGTTTGCTTGTGTTTCTCCACTGAGATGCAAAAAGGGAGATATTGAATAGTAAAATAATTCTGGCTTACGCATTTGCCTAACTCAGACTGCTCTTCACTACATGTCTGGTTTTTCCATTTGAATAACTATTTGCAAAAAATTACTGATGCTTTCCTCCCAAAACCTACTTTCTTTGAGATGGGGTCTTCTTGTGGCTTGTTTAAATAATTAAAGTGGTTTCAGCTGTCATATGGGAGGGTTGCGCCTAAAAAATACAAACCTGTTGAGAATTAGCTAAATAACCTCTCAAAAGCAGATTTACTTTGTATTATTATTACTGCCCCCATAAGCAGCAATTTTAAGATTCTGCACATTAACACCATTGTTGCGTGGACATGACATCACTCTTACTCACCCAAGTTTATTTGCAAGTCATTCTTCTTCTTTAATGCCATGTTGTAATTTATAATCCAGTTAAACTTTGTTTTTCTTAACAATTTACTTATTATTCATTTGTGATAATGTGCTTAGTTTCAACAGTGGTTTCTCAGCTAAGATATCATGAAACCCAAATAATTCATAACACCTGTGTGGGTGTGCCGGGCTTTCACAATATAACCGACAGAGCTGGAGGTCATTTTTTAACTGCTGAATACTGTTTATCATTATCATCACGTTTTTTCCCCTTATTATTATATTATTAAATGGCAATCAAAAAAGTACAGTCACGTGAAAAAGAAGGTACACCTGTTTTATTTCTTACATTAGGTAAAACCTTAGAGGAACTACGACATATGACATACTAAACTGTCTTATTTAACAAAGACTAAGCTAAAATACAAAAGCAGTTAGTAAAAGCCTCAGTAAAGCCTTACTGCTTCCATTAGAATTAAGAGGGTAAGTAGCAGCCAGTTGCTGATAATCACATTCACATGATTAACTGACGATCAGCAAGTGTGAGCACCTCCATAAAAGCAGAAATGTTGGCAGTTTGCTGGTCTGGGACATTCACATGTCTGTTAACACAGTGCTGAGGGAGAAAGGTTTTAGCAGTGAGCTTAAACAAACATCTGTTACTTCCCATCAATCCAAGAAGGGTTATAAGGTAATTTCCAAACAATTTGACCTCCGTCATTCTGTACTGAGAGAGATTATTCGCAAGTGGAAAAGAATCAAATCACATGACTCTCTTCCCAGGTTTGGACGTAAAAGCAAATTTAACCCAACATCAGATCATGCAACAATCAGAGAAACTGCAAAAAGCCCAGGAGCTATAACTCAGAATCTGCAGGACTCACTTGCTAAATGTTAAAGACAAATATGTTAAAGTACAATCAGAAAAAGACTGAACAAGTATGAGTTGTTTGGAGAGCCTGTCAGAAGAAAGCGTTTTCTCTCTACAAAGAACATGACAGCACAGCTGTGGTTTGCATAGTTGCATCAGAATAAACTACAAGGCTTCTGGAACAATGTCCTTTGGGTAGAAATAACCAAAATGCAGATGAAAATGCACCACAAAGAGCTCATACCAGGTAGGGATGGCAATTGATAAGAATTTAGCAATTTCAATTCTATTATCAATATCACTTATCGATTCTCATTGGGTTTGCATTGGCTGCACTTTGAAAGCCACCACCATCGCTAAGGAGCATATCAGACATTACATTCATGCAAATTAACTGCATGTACAAAGTAATGCCTTGCACATACTACACAGAACAGTTTTCTTAAAAGTACTGGAGTAATTAATTACTCCCAGGAGAAAGTAACTACTCTTTACATTAATTGACAATGTATTGTCTCATTATTACCATTAAACAATATAAACATATAAGCTACAATCCCACTGGTCAACACAAATTCCTATCCTAATGAGGTACACATACGATCTTTCTCTTAGTATTTAGGTATGAAGCCGACAGCACAAAGCAAAGATGGAAACTCACCACAGTGATTCTGCTTTAGAAACATGAACAGGTAGAAAAAGCGGCTGCAGCCTGACTGCTTATCAATTTGTTACCTGTTGAGGTTCAGGGTCTGGCTGCTGGGCAGGGGTCGGCATTCACTCAGGTTTGGCATTGCTTTGGCTTCTTGGATGGCTTAACATTAGCATGCTGTCTGTGCAGGTGCTTGCAAAGAGCTGAAGTTGTGTTAGCAACATAAAGTGATTGTTTCTGTCCTGGATGCAGTTTGCACTTAACCACCCCACGCTCTTCCTTTTGTGCAATAAAAATAAAAGTAATAAAAGTGTCCATATCCACTCTGCAGACTGCCACGGGAACTGAAATCAGCTGTGCGCAGGTGCAAGTGGATCCGATAAGCGGGATCAATGACAGACTAACAAATCCAAATAATTGAACTACTGCTGGTCCAGAGTAGTGCAGGCCTTAAAATTCACTAAGTAGCTACATATAGTGCACTGCTGGATGGAGCAATCATATTTTTGTATTTGTATGACAGTCCCAGATGTAAATCATGATCCAGGGAACTCCATAAACACTATATTTAAGTTCAAACCGAGATCTTTTTTTTTTTTCATGAACACAAATCAGTGCATTAAATTATCCATTTCACAATTTGAAGTGACACTGCATTGCATTTACTACATACTGCTGAATAGCAATATTAACGACTTCTCTGAACAAATAAATAACCTGATGAAGTTAGTCCACTTTTGTTTCCTACTGCACAGACAAGATAAAAAAAATAAAAAATAAATAAAATGTTTTCATATGGATGACTGCATGGACTTTGTTTTTATAGTTCATGCATAGAAAAAACAGGTGAAACGATCCCCCAAATAATTCCTATTTTTATTACTTGACAGCTATGTGTTAAATGTTAACATTGCACAGGTTTTATTAAGCTTTTACATAATACTTTGCACTAATGATGAGTATTTTATGATTTCTTATGCAGATCCTGGCTTGAAAATAATATTAGCACACTTGTTGTACCTTGACCCGAAAACGGCTCCCAAAATATTGTCAGAGAAACATGAAATATAGACATTTCACACAGAAAAGGTTTTGCAGCAACATAGACAACAAAGTGATATTATGAACATCAATAACAATTGCAGAAAACAAACATAATTTCCCAAACTGTACTTACCTGAAGCACCATATCTCTGCTTTTAAACATTTAATTTATTTAGAATCTGCGAATCTCAACCAAAATTCAGAAAACTCTTTGTGTAATTGTGTTTGCTTTAACTGCAAAGTGACTGTAATTAAAAATAAAACCTCTTTCTGCTGGAGGAGTGCTTTGTGTAATTTTAGCCTGTTTGAACAATGTGGATCTGTCAAAACCATAGAAACAGGTGTTTGTGAAAGGGCATTCAATGAAAGCTTGTTATTAGCAGAACAGTGGTAACCCACAACAATAAAAGTACTACTTTATATCTAATCTTTCCCAACTAATCTTGCTTTTAATTTATCGTCGCTAAATGGCCCGTCCTCTGATAGCACCCAGGAAATTCTAAAGATTCCTGTTCTTTTTCAATCCCCGAACACATTTTCTATTCTTTGATTTAGAATGCAAGAGCTCTGAGTTTGATATGGTGAGCCAAACAGTTTGAATGGATTGATTGTGAGATATGGAGAGGGTGTGCACAAACTGCGTCAAGGCTTCTCAGCAACCAAGTGTTTGTAGACACACCAAATCAAACTGTGAGAGATGACAGCCACCATTCATAAGACAGCTCACT